TTCCCCAGTGTAAATTGTTCAAAAACTTGCATTTTAGGACACAAATTGTTAGAATATATTACAATTGATTTGCTTATGTTGTAAAAAACATATATTTGGAATTTATAGTCCAATAAATGAATGCAATGTATGTATATATTAGCTTTGAATGTCTTACTTATATTACAAACAAAAATTTAATTCGTGCATTTAAATAATAACAACATAACATCCGTTTTTGTATATATATAAAAGAGTACGTATATTAATTAAATTAGAAAATTCGTTGATGATGTTGTTTTAACTTTATTATAAGCTCTAAGAAAGAAGACGAACTCCTAGTTTAAGTTAGTTAATTTTTTAATATTATCATGACAGTTGATGTTTGAAAAAAAATTTTAAATAGCATCTAAACAAAATTAATAAAGTAATCGATTGAAACAGATGATAAAACGTATTAAGCCGTTTTGTCGGAGCTTAAATAGGCTTTATAAATATATAAATAAATTTGTGTAAAATAAATAAGTAGGCAAAAACACGACACAAAAGAAATCCAAATAGCTTATTTCATAATAGTTTTTGTAAATTTCTCCCCGTTATTTATTTAGTATTTCACTCTGCTTATATTAGAAGAAATCCCAAGAATGAGTTGTATTTAGTTTGCATTTCTTAAAATATAAGTTTACAAAATAAAAGTATTAGTGAGATAAATATATGATATTATAAAGAACAGAGACTGCTCTAGACGTCATTTACATTTTTAACCGGGTTAATTAGACGAACTGCAATGTCCAACTGATCACTTTTTATATCACTTGACTAGCGCGAAGTGGATGACATTTTGGCACGGGTTATCTTTGTACGTGATTTTTACATGAAACAAACACATTTATAAATTAATTAATTGTTTAGTGAACATTAAAATATAATATTTTTAAATAATGTTTATCAGTCTAAAATAATTGTATAATATTTTAGTGATATTTGTATTTGCCTTTTAGTAAAACAATAAAGATGGATAGTTGAATCTAAATTTAAATGTTAAGCATTAACGTTACTTTACATAGACTGACTCGTTGGTGCAGTAGTTAGCGTAGCTGACTGTTGCGCTGAGGGTCATGGGTTCGATTCCCACATCATTCGTGTGATGAACGGGCTTTTTTCTTTTTATCTGGGTATTTTTTATCTATTTAAGTAAATATTGTGTATAAAGGTATGTATATCATTCCCTGGTACCCATAATACAGGGAATCATAATTTGGGGCCGGATTGCGTGATTTGTTCCCATTTATTCCTGAGTCAAATAATTCTTCGATCACCTGTGTACAGGACAGGCCTTCGTGTCTCGCCCACATGTCCTGGTGAAACTGGAAGGGCCTTCGGGCCACCAATAATCCTTCAATCATAAAAAAGGCCTTCGTGGACAGTTAAGTAAATAGACGAGTGCGAGTAAGTTTCCGTTGTAAGGGTTCCGGAAAAAACTTGGAAAATAATTAATTATGTAAGCAGATATACGTTATCCATCCCGATACTCGCCTGTTCGACATTAGCGACTATCGCCAGTTTTTATTTCTTTTGCCCCTTTCTGTAGCGGATTCGTATTGAAATCTATAAATTGTCGTAGTATCGCACACTACTCTAATGATTTCTTTAGTTTGATTGAGAGACAATGTTAGCTTTGCACCGACAGAAACATTCTGCTATTTGTCGATATTCAACGGTCGATAATCCAATTGCTCTTATTAACTATCATCATCATCATCATCATTCTTTCTTATTACCCTCTGCTGGGGTGTAGGGCTCGATAAATTTTTTTCCATTTACATATTTATTTTCTTATTAACTATATAGTTTAAAATTTTCAAATACAAGTCCTAAAGCTAAAAATTTATATTGTGATTTTCTTCCGAAGCCTTGCTTTTGTCATATTTTTTGAAATTGGTTTAAATTTATGCATTTACGAGTATTTATTAACACTAATGGCCGTATATTTTGATTAAATTGAATAAGAATCTTCTTAAACTTTAATACTCGTTTGACGTTAATTCAGTTTCACGCCTGTACCTGTTCTGTTAATATCACTGAAGTAATGGTTAATATTCGATCTTGACATAAGCCAATATCAACAACAAAGAGGTCCTGTAAGAAGAGGTCTTGTTCTGTTCTCTTTCTACAGCTAATGAACTCTTCAATTGAATTACACGACATAGTTAATGTTTCCTTCTTTAAAGCGTATTACGATTTTGGTTAAGCAAAACACATTTTCCTTATTTTGTAAATATAGAATGACGTAAATGTAATTTATGAATTGACGGCTCTGATGCCCGTTTTCCTTTTAGTATAATCTTGGGTTTGTTTTAATTTGGTCAGAAGTAATATGGCTAAAAACGAAAGGTCGAGAATCATTAGTTTTAAATGAGAAATACGAATTGCTACAGCGTCTTCGGCTATAATGGAAGAGAAGTAGCCAATCCAGACTTGTCTTACTCTTGAGCAATATCGATTGTTCAAGCAGTAGTATCTAAAATAAAAATAGCTTTGATGACAGCTGGCATCTCGGAGTAAATGATGCATCAAGTAGAAGAATGTGGTGCAACATGATTACTGTTATTTGTAAATACCGAACAAAAAGTATTTTATAAACATAAACACTCTCTGGATGGATCGGTTCAGTACAAATATATTACTAATGAATGAACTTCCATAATAGGTTTTCCGGTACAACATGTGGGCAGAGCGTTGGTTGTGCTTCTAGTTTTCAATGTACATAAGAACCAATAAATACTTCTCAAAAACGCTTGATCAACGAAGCTGCTTTGTTTAAATATTTCTATATATAGGTAGTTTAAATCAAAGTCGCTGTCTGTCTCTGTTTAGGTTTCCACTTATTTTTTCTGGATCAGGTATACGATTTTGATGCAATTTTGACTAATGACAGCGATAAACAAGAAAGGGTTGTGTATACATATAATTTATATATATTTTGATAGTGTTATATCAAAAAAACATTTTTCATTAGCTTACAAGGTTGACCGAATTTATGAGAAAACGTTATCTACGCAAGCGGGGGAAAACTATTTGAATAAGAAAAGTTTATGTGAAAATATGAGTGCTGTATATTCAACAGTTCGATGGAAAAAAACGTTCGCTCCAGTGTTACGGGTGTCGGGAACATACTCACGATACAGAAACATCTACACACAGACCCTAATGCCAAATATTTTGCGGAGTAGATTTAAATACTGCGTTAGAAACATGTGTCGTAAATTTAGGATTAGCATACACTAATACCTGAGCCTCGGTGACAGGAAAATGAAGATTAATATATTTTGAAACCCATATTATACCAATATATCAACTGTTCCTGTACTAGGACTACCCTGTGCTAGACGGCGGTGAACTGTGTTAAGCGGTGAGTATTTATTCAATCTTCACCTGGTAGATGTTTGAACACTCACATAGAATTTAAAAAAATATAACTGCATAATAAATTATATTACGCAGTATTTAGTGTTATTGGTAACGAGATTATACTAATTATGTAATAACTATTAACTATGTAATACATATGTTACTACGTGACAATGATTACACACATTTTTAGGTATTACACCTACAAATATTTGTAACCTTTTTGATTACATAACGTCTAACTATGCGTGCCGTACTCATAAAACGATTTATGTATTTATTTGTAATGATCCTATAATATTTTAAGGCGTTACCTGTTTTTTGAATCAGGGTTTTTTGTAACTGACAAATTAATAAGTAAGACTTAGTTGATAACAATAAAACGAAAACTAGTTTTGTTCGAATGAACATGGAGAAAAAATAATTCTATTATATAATAGATTAGGTAGGTATATAAACGAACATATCGCATTTACGTAGGCGGACTGTGAACAGCGGAACCATGTGATTTTCTTTTTTTAAATTCCGATATCACCCAAAAACTAGCTTCCGTGATTCATTATTATTAAGTAAACATTATGCGGACAACAGTATAGAGAAGTTTATGGTTTATGATACTATTATTTAGGCGTCGTTGTTTGTTCAGCTAACCTTAAGTTCTATTCATGGCGAGCTTTGAACCACGATTTTGAAACTAGGAAAGGCACAAATGTTTTGTATTCAGTTATAGATCAAGGACTCGGATATAAGTAAAAAATGGCAGATCCAAAGGTCAAATTAACGTCTAAATTCAAATAAAAATACTTCGAGACTGAGTTTTTAATGAGTTCGCTTGATTTAAATTTAAATATCACTCGTGCAGATGATGACTTTTGGCCCACGCCAGATGCCCATAATTGAAGGATCTTGTTTGTGTTTTCTTTAATGACTCTAGTTACCATTTTTGGACTTACGAAGAATCTTAAAGGCCGTTATATCTACCGTACACTGGTCCATTTGCTACTATGTGTTTTTCAGTAAGCTCCTAAGTACTGGCACATTGAATTGTTCAAAACAAGTTTTGTTATCACGATCTAATTCATTTGCATAACAAATGCTTAACTAACAACACAAAGGATTAATCGTCTAATAGATTTAGTGAGAATAACATTTGGAACCACAACGTGCATACGGTGTAAGGTAATAAACTAGGGGTGTGGGATGAATGCACGCGCTGACGGTGCATTTACCAAAACGGTTTTACAAATAAAAATAAAAGTAGGCCTTATACAAATTGGCTTTAGGGTGGTAGAGTCTGCAATACAAGGTTTGCTCTTTAGTCTACCCAAGTATGACGACGCCGACGGAGGGTTTAGTTGAAATTATTATGGGGCTTTGTCTATTTCATTGAGGCAAAAGATTGCTAAGTTTTATTATATGTTAAACCGTACTTCTAAATTACACACATACATTTAAAAAAATGTATCAATATATCTGATTTCGATAAAATAACATCAAAATTAAGAATTTCAATAAAATATCAAAGGAGTTAGTTACTTAACATTATTTAAACATACTACGAGTAAAATATAGTAATAAAAACATACAGTTAAATTTTAAAATAAACAAACCTTAATACACGAGAGCTAATTTTCGAACAGCCAACTAACTCACTGGAACGTTAATTTAAAAATCACTGTCATATCTGCCGGAATAGTTTCTAATAAAATATGATTTACACTTTAATGTAACGAATGTATAAACGCACTGCAACAATGCACTTGAGTGTACAAGATATCGATCGTGACGTAACGTATGCACAGATGATCGGCCGGTACAGACGCCGTCGCCGCGACGCGTTCGTTCCCGGCGAATGTCGATTTAATACTAACATAACCTCAAATTTACGCGCGACGCCTGAAGAATTGTTATGCTATCTGTACGCAATAAATGGGGTTCCGTTTTGATGAGAAAGGAAATACGCAAGACCGTGAGAAGGAAAAAGAAGAAATGATTGTCGAAGGTGTATTTTATAGGGGGGACTGATGACAATAGTGTATTAACAGCAGTTGTAGTTGCAACAAAAAAAATTGGAATATTTTTTTATTGGATATCTTAATGGATATGGATTTTTAATCTTAATATTTAATAATATTTTGCAACAAATTCCATTAAAGACTAAAAGATTCCCTCTTTAATCAGCAAGTAATGAAATGGACAGTTGTGAAACAACGGAAACTTGAAATTTACAAGGTGCTAACATTTTGTAACAGTAAATAAACACGTACGTTACGATCGAAACAGTTATCGATACACCTTTAAATGATAAGGAAAATATTGTAAGGAAGAATTAATATCGCTTACTAAGAACTTGGAATGTGGCGTGGCGTTTATAAATCATCAAATTAAGTTTATAAATTGAACTAAATTCAAATATTAACTTTCTGATAAAACAGCAAGCCGCCTAGCCGGTGTGGTCCATTCGTTATCTTAAAACGTAAAAACATTTTTTGGTTAGTCGTTTTCAAACCAAAGTACTTGTCTAAGTCAACAGGTTGATTGAAAAAAATGTTTTATCGTTAGGGTTTTGTACCTGCGCCACCCGTGCCTGTTGGCTGTCCCAGAGAAACCATTGAAGCATAGAGAATGAATGATTTAAACCAGCTGTTATAAGACCTGACAAATTTACTTCAATTACCTATTTATTTTTTCTGATAATTAGGTTTTGAAAGTTTTTTTTTGTGCTGCTCTCGAATAAAAGTGCATCATGAGAATCCTGACACGGATCTTAAAATCTTAAATATAATATTTCGTTTATAAAATTCCAGAGACATTATAATAAAATTTAATATGTTTTTGACTTGGGAATTGCTAAAACCAAAGCAGATCGAAGATATTAATAATTTATTCCTATAAATTGGTTTAATATTCATATGAAAACACTGTAGCGGGACTAAGTCGAATAACTTCATTACTAATATTTAATTCAATTAGATCGACTTCCAATCATTATACAATTGAGGTTCCTTATGTTCTAGGGTGTGTGGCAATCACCTTGTAGTGACAACGGGGCTGGCTGCCATTAAATTCTAGAAGGGCTGTAAACTTGTCCACGCTTAAAGTGGAAGAAACCCACTACTAAAGATATATGCTATATTCCACAGTAGATAATGCTAATTATGTACCTATGTTTTAATGTGCAGCAAGGCATTTTCAAAGTATATGTGCTGTTAATATTAAAATATAATACAAAACCATTGATAGTAGGCGGAGGCCTACACACCGTGTTCTTGTGGTACAAGTTTGGCGATGACAAGGTAAAGAAGTACCTTATGTACTTTCTGTTTTATTCACAAATTTACTCAGGAGTTTATACATCATGTGATTGAAATTATTGTATCGCTGCGACCGGTAATCCTGATTTATTTGTCAACAGCCTGTAAATATGTAGTTTTAAAATCCGTATAGAAATAGGCTCCGGCATTAGTGAGATGAATCTATTAACGTTCTAAAACACAGAATACTCTAAATAGTTCTATGAATACTTTTAAAAATTTAATACTAGCAGTATTTTAATGTATCCGAATGAAAGAATATTTTTGGTCATGTGAGTACGTTGTAAAATTGGAATACAAGTAAACATAAAACTTTTCAATTTAAAGTAAGTACTTTATCGTTATCTCCTCAATAAAATTCTGTTTAAACTTGACTACCGAAATAATGAGCTGAACAGTCACCCGTATCATTTTATATTGGTTGTAATTAAAACACGACTTATAACTTTATAGTGCCAAAAAAAATAATCTTAGAATTTTTATCTTCGTTTCGAGTCGCTAATTTTAATAGGTTTTTTGGTTTGTATTATTAAGTTTAGTAGACCTTGATCGTGTGGTTAAGCACATGAGTAAGTTGCTATAGCATTGTGTTTCCTGCTGGACTAACGCAGCGTACGTGAAGTTAATTCAAATGTGTTGAAGAGGTCAAACGCACCTGACTTCACAATCAGTGCTTTCCTATAACATGTCACATTTATTTTGCCATATGTCACTAGTTGACCACATGATCTGGAAGCTATCTTAGATTATTAGGTCTAAACACGTCCTTTTCTGATTCCTAGATATCATTTATAAAAACAACTCTTTTACGATTTCCAATCTTTCGAAATCGTTTTCTTTGTAAAACTTATTAAGTATGCAAGGTTAAACTATCAAAGTGCTTTGATTAACGTGCTTTTAGTTCAATACTAATTTGATATCAAATTACTTCTACATACACAACGGTATGTTTTTATAATATTAAATCTCTGCATTTCGTCATTGAGACATGATAAAATGTGTGGCAGTTCTTAATTCCAATAATAAGCAAATAAACACGTAAACGCTATTTCGTCTCCTATATTTAATTTTTAATGTACATGCTGTCAGATAGTAGTCGGTGTAAATATTAATTTATATTAAAATATAGTAAGCCATGTTCCTTTTGTACTTAATAGTTTCTTCGTAATCTCTTCTTCGTAATGACATTTTAATAAAACGATATACAGTATTTTCTAGTTGCTTAGGCCTAGCGTTGTGTTTCCTGTCTAGAGTAGAGGGGCGAACGCTCACAGCGTCGATGCTCACTGCGTAATATAAATAATAGGTATTTCAGTAACTCCTTATACAGTAAGTTTTAATTCAAATGTCAAGGACCATACGTACTTTACTGCATCTGCTGATGGTATTGAGTAAATTATTAAACGATGTTTTTTGTTCTGGGAAATTTCGCCATATTCAGAACGGCAACTGACTGACGAATAGGCAAGGAACATTGAAAATATTAGTAGACTTATTTATAGCGCTTGTAGAAAACAAAATAATTATCAGTTACATATATTGAAGATTCATCGGTAAATAAGTGAGAAAAGCTAAAGGAAACTTTTGAAAGGATACGTGATATAAATTTAACCAATATTCCATTGTTGTGGAACTTAAAATTGAAGACGGTCTATAGTCCACAGTCTACTACGGGACACTTAAAATTTAATATAATATTATGATATTTATCATTGCGCTAAGTGAGTTGATGAGACAGCCCAGGGCTTGTCCTGACCAGGGCTACTAAAACCTACAATAAGTAGTTACCGAAACTTATAAAATTCAGCCTAAACATTAATACTTACCTCACACATTTGCATAAACGTTTACGTAATGCAAACATTTATTTTTCGCAGTTTTATGACAATCATACCACATCAATAAGGGATTAATAGAAAGGGAAATAAGGGAAAATAGAATACTGTACCTTAATACCTTAGTTTAAAGCAATTAAACCACATGTTGAACGTTACTAAACTTGAGTGATGTGCAGCGCATCCAAATAAACGAGGTCAATGTAAGCGGTTAAATACCACATACTGTAAATAGTTTGTGGCGTTGTTACAGACGCTTTCGAGGTGTGTGTGGGCGCGTAGTCTGTTGTTAGAAGCATGTGCCGTGCGTATATACAGGGTGTAATGGAACCATTACGAAAAAGGGAAGACTGGTCATATAGTATTAACCTAATAATACCTAATAAATACGCTGTTCTACAAGAGAGTCCGGTTAGATTATTCTAATATATATTCTTCTAATAATATTTATACTACACTTTCATCCTACAATTACAAATTTTAGTGATAAGTACTTTTTGACCAGATTCAGCAGAGTAGAGCTGCCAAAATACAAGAAAAAAATCCAAACTTAGAGCCATTGAGTGTCGAAAGCTTTTATATTGTTTACGATTATAATAAATAGCATTGTATTTTATATTTTATCAAATATTATAACGATTAATGATATTATAAATCGAATTAATTATTGGACATAGCTTTCTTAAGGTTATTATTTTTTCTGAATAATTTATTTGATTTGATTTACTTACCATTTATTACCAAAAAAATCTTTGGCTCAACTAAGTTCTAGACCCTTTAAAATAATCTTACGTATCTTTTAATTTTAAACCGAATCGTAATCAGTGGCCATTGACATACCGAAGTAAATAAAATATGTCGTACCTAATTAGTGAGTTCAGAAATGTTCGTATTATTTAAAAAAAAAAGTGATTAAATCTAAGGTCAACGTAATCGTTTTTACGTCGGTATGTGAAGTGTGAGCTTTGTTTTAATTCTGCTGGCGGTGTTATTGTTCCGGGCGGGTGCGTTGTACGGAAGCCAGGTCGTTAGTAATCACGACCAGGGTCGGGGAACACACGAAGCCGTTACTATAAACCAGATTCGTCGTCATAGAGGGTAGCTATAAGGTTTTATTTAAGAAACGATGTTTAATTTAACTTCTGAAAAAAAAAAACATTTAAGAAACGAAGACTCGTAAACGTTTTAACTTCTGAAAAAAAAAAAACACAAACTTCTTTTTGTGTTAAAATAGTTCACATACTACAAATAAGATTAAGAAAAGTATTATCTAAAATGAAATTGCTTAGCTTTTTTTTTAGCTTTCTAAATATAACCACCGTTATGTATTTATATTTTAAATGCAGGTCATGAAAATAATAGGCGTCTCGGTTAGATTTGGTGCTTAGGCTATTAAATTAAGCATGATAAAATGCTTCTTACATTGATGAAGATGACGTACGACATCAACATTCGTGAGTAGTCGTTCTTGACTTAAATGATAATAGCTAAAGGGATCTTAATTAGCGTTCCAATAGCTTAAGTGTGCAATTGCAATTTGCAGTACATAAAATGGTCGGGCTGCTTTTCAAACCTGTTCCATAATATGTCAAACTTAGAAGGAGGAATTATATAAATCTAGATAGTCAAGCGGTATCCCAGTTAATGAGAGAAAAAACGATCAAAACAATTTTTATGCGGTTTTCAAAAAGGCGGG